TTTTTTTTAACTTAACTAATAATTAATGATACTCACTTTTAATAATTAATAATATTAAAGTTATTAATATTTTCATAATTGTATATCCAGTTATATATATATATAGGCAAGGTAAAAATAATAAAAATGGTAATAATTTATTTCTATACTTAGCGTGTCTCGAAACTTTTAAAAAAATTGAGAAATGTTACATATGCTTTAAATCCGAACTTCCTTCCTCAAGCATTAACCACCTGCAATCCATTTGAATTCTTGGTTTTGGGATTAATTATATTTTCCTTGAATATAGTCCAGGAAAGCATAAGAGGAAAGAGCAAAATCTTATTCTGTTTCTTTGTGATTTGATATGATTTGGATAATTTAAAACTGCTAAGAGAATCATTATGGATGCAGTACATACCTCAGAAAACAAAGTTGTAGTTTTTGCATATAAGAATCTCTCTTCCTCAGTTTCTGTTCAAGGTGACATAAGTTGTATTCCAAAGAAGTTGTTTCTTTTTTCTTCTGATTCTGATGGATTATCTTCTTGAAAATAGTCGTTGTAGACCTCACGTCGTTTGAGATGGAAAATGAGAAACATGATGATTCTTCTCCTATAGGAATTATTGAAGCGTGCATCAGAAACCAGGAGAATGGCTCCGATTCTCCTAAAGCTAAACCCTCATGTTCTCACTTCTGCTTGTCAAATTCACAGATGCCCTCTCCATGGCACGAATTCTTCAAAATGTGGAAGAGAAGCTCCATCAAGAGACTACCTACCTTTCCACCTTTAGCCGTTTCGAGGATATCGAGATGGAAAAGCAGAAGTGTGAGGGAGAGTGTAGCAACAGGTTTCTATCACTTCAAATCCTCCTGGAAGAACTTCAGCCTATCTGACCTAAAAAATATGCTACGAATAATTTTAGCGAAGGTTTGTAATCTAGTTTAGCATCTCTCTGTTTTTCGCATTCAGGCTAATACATTTCCATATGATTATATTTAATACTTTTTCTTGAGCATAAATGTGTATCCTAGAGTTGATCTCCTTGTTTGACAGAAAACTTGATTGGCAGAGGAGGGTATGCTGAAGTTTATAAGAGTTGTTTGCCTGATGGTCATCTTGTCGCGGCTAAGCGCCTCAATAAAGATACACTAAAGGATGCCTTTTTTTTTTTGTCTTTTCAGGCTCAAAGGATAAACTAGATTGGGCTGCCAGGTACAAAATAACTTTTGGTATAGCAAATGGCCTACTTTACCTTCACGAAAATTGCTAAAGGCGGATTATACACAGAGATATTAAAGCTGATAACATTCTACTTACGGAGGATTTTGTGCCTCAGGTACTATACTTGCATTTAAGATTGATAATTAAGGGAAGAAAAGATTATATCCAACATATATGTTGAGATCATCTGTGTTACATAAGTAGGTTTTTCCATAGTTGCTCTGCATATATATGTTTTTTCATATTAGCCTGAATGCTGTGAAGAGAGATGTTAAAACAGATCACGTACCTTCGCTAAAATTAATGGTAGCATTCTTCAGGTCAGATAGGTGAAGTTCTTCCACGATTATTTGAGTGGATAGGAACCTATTGGTACATTTCCCTCACACTTCTGCTTTCTCTTCTTGATATCCTAGGAACGGCTAAAAGTGGGAAGGAAGCTAGTCTCTTGATGGAACCGCTTCCACATTTTGAAGAACTTATGCCAGGGATAGGGAATAGTGAATTCGACAAGCAGATTTGAGAATCAGAGGGTTAGCTTTAGGTGAATTAGAGTCATTACTCAGCTTCTTATGCATGCTCCAATAACTCCTCTTGGAAGAATATATTCTCTGCTTGTATATGGTCAAAAGTACTTAACTTTAAGACTGACAATTAAGTGCTACACAGTAAATTTCTTAACTTTGTAGGTTAGGAGACCTTGGCTCATAAATGATTGAATGTGATTGTTGGTTTGTGGTGGATTTTGTTAATGATTATTGGCGGTGGATTTTGAGTTGTTGATATAGGCAATAGTTGGAAGAAAGTAAGAAAAAGAACACAAGATGTTTTTAAGACAAGCAAAAGTCAGTCAAGAAGATTAAGATTGTAGCTTGTTATGTATTTTTTTGGTAATGAAGATATTTATTCCGCCCTGTTGTAAGAGTTATTACAAATTGGAACTTTTCTAGGACACAAAGTTCCTAGCTTGTCCAGTTCAAAAGTAGAAACAGCAAAAGGGGGCGGGGAGAAGTACAACATAGGATTTCCAAAAAAGTTCGATTTGCTTCCATGTTTTGCCATAGCGTCAGCCACTCCATTCGCTTCTCTGAAGACGTGAGTGACCTGAGGCTCGCCTGCTCTAGTAAGCATCCATCTGCAATCAATAATCAAATTTTGATACGGACTATTGTCGTTAGTAAGCATGTTAACTAAGATATTGCAATCTGTTTCAACCACTAGTCGCCTAATGTTTTGTTGTATTGTTATTTTTAAACCCTGTATAAGTGCAAGGCCTTCCATGTATATGTTTGTAGTGTGGGGGATGGACATGTTAAAGCCTATAATCCAGCTGCTTTCCCAGTCTCTTCTAACCCCTCCAATGCCACCCCTCCCAGGGTTGCCTAAGCTAGATCCATCTATGTTTAATTTATAAATTCCCCGATCAGGTGGCTTCTATTTTATGTAGATGGTCATCCTGGGGTTAGGACTCTGGAAAGACTCTGTTAACAACTTAAATTCCGTTGCACTCTTAACGATATTTTTTAAGGAAAGGGGAGATTTTTTGTTGTTAAAGATGAAATTGTTTCTGTGAATCCAGATGTGCCAAAGGGTAAAGGGAAGGATATCTGCCTTAGATAAAAATCTGTTGAAAGATGATTTATTGTGGCAAAGGGGTTTTAACCAGTTATGCATAGTAAGCTCATTGCGAGGTTGATCCGGATATTTGTAAGAAATTCCCAATTGGTCCCAAATAGGTTTTGAGTGCCTGTAATTAAAGAACATATGTTCCATGTCTTCTTCTTCGTTTTGGCAAATATTGCAAATGCTGGAGGTAATGATTTTCCTATTATGTAACATTTTGGAGGTGGGTAACCTGTTGTGGACAACTGTCCATAAGAATGCCTTTTTTTGCTTGAAGTATCAAGCTTCCATAACCACGAAAAGTAAGTCAAGTTTCCTTCTTCTTTAGGCTGGGCTTTGATAATGTTGTAGGCAGCCTTCGTCGAGAAGGAACCATTAGGTCCCTCTTCCCAAGCAAATTTATCTATTGCCGACTCACTTTGTTTAATATAAGTGCTAAAAATTTTCCTACGGATGGTTTTAGGTAGTTCGAAAGAGAGGGTATTGATATTGAAAAATCCCTACACTAGAATAGAACTTAGGGATAAATTTAATTCGTTGAGGGGCAGAGGCCCCTGAATGAGGGAACGTAGGGGCCCCGAGTCTATGATCCAGGCATCATGCCAGAGGTTGATGGATTCCCCCATTCCCTACTTCCTAGTGTATGCCCTTTTCGCAGATTTCTCCTCCAATACAGATATTTTTCCAGATGTGAGTTCCTCCTTTTTTCTCTAAATCCTTCCACCTGGAAGGATTCATATTGATGTTGTATCTGTTTTGAAGGACTTGAACCCAAAGAGATTGTTTTTCTCTTGCAAATCTCCATGCCAGAGTTGCATTGAATGATTGGTTCTTCCATTTGGCTTTATACAACCCCAGACCTCCTTCTTTTTTGTCCCTAGTTACTATGTTCCAATTAATAAGGTGACATTTTCTCTTCTCAGATGTGCTCCCCCACAGGAAGTTTCTTTGTATTGTGTCGATAGTTTTTAGGGTAGATTTTGGGAGGCTATATATTTGCATGATATGGTTAGGGATTGCTGCAAGAGTGGATTTTATTAGGGTAGTCCTACCTGCTGTGGTCAGGAGATTTACTTTCCATCCTTGCAGTTTACTGTTAAGGTTATCAATGATAGGTTGGAAATCTTTTTTGGATGGGTTTGAGTTCAGGATTGGGAATCCTAGGTATTTCCCTATTTCATTTGAGAGTTTCATGGATAAACATTGGCTGATGTATTCCTTGTTTCTGGAGGAGGTATTTTTGGAGAACATAATTTTAGACTTATGAAAATTAATGGACTGTCCCGAATAGTTGCAGAATTTATTAAGGGTATCTATTATTGAATTACAGCTTTTCTGGTTGGCTTCTGCCATTAAGATTAAGTCATCTGCAAAGAACAGATGAGATAACTATGGTCCTTTATTAGACAATTTGATGGGTGTCCATCTGCAGCAGTCAATTTCATGATGTATCAGTCTAGATAGCATTTCCATACAGATTATGAAAAAGTATGGGGATAGGGGATCCCCTTGTCTAATCCCCCTTGTTGGTCTAAAAAACTCCGTACTAGACCCGTTTATCAGGATTGAAGTTTGAGTGGTCGAAATGCAGGACATTATAATAGCAATCATATTTTTGGGAAAATTTAAAGATATCAGAGAGAATCTTACGAAAGACCATTCTATTTTGTCGAAGGTTTTTTCCAGGTCTATTTTAATTAACATTTTCCCTTTCTTCCCTTTAGTTCTTTTGAAGTAGGACACTACTTCGTTCACAATGATGGCATTATCAGATGCTCTTCTCCCTTATAGGAAGCTTGTTTGAGTGGGGTGTATGACTTTTGAGAGTAGAGGTTTGATTCTATTAACCAAAGTTTTTTTAATAATTTTGTAAGCAGTGTTGCAGAGGCTTATAGGTCTAAATTATTTTATTGTTTCCGGACTCTTACATTTTGGAATTAAACAGATGTAGGTTTTGTTCATTTCCTCTGTCATTGATTTATTTCGAAAAGTCTCTTTACAAAAATTAATTAAGGCATTTTTTGTTTCATTCCAGAACTTTTGGTAGAAGAAAGGGTGGAGGCCGTCCAGTCCTGACGCTTTATAAGGTTTAAAAGAGTCCCGTAGGTCAGGTTCTATGCTCAGTGCAAGGTGGTCCCTAATACTGAGAGTAGTATAGTGAGACACAGGCGTTTGGTTAGTCATGGAGGAAATATGACTAGTTGTAAAGAGATTTTGGAAAAATTCAATAGTATAGCTTGTTATGTCACTTCTCATGTGGAATATACAAATGAGGTAGAAACATTACTTGAATTTATAGAGTCCCTCTAAGTTTAGAAGAGGATATACTTTTCGATTTTTTCTCACATGCTTAACGTTCATGTGATCACATGTATAACGTTCAAATGATACCTCACGTGTATAACCTTCATGTGATACCTCACGTGTATAATGTTCAAATAATATCTCACATTTATTATCAATCTTTTATGACTGTAATTATTACCGGTTAAGAAAGAAACAAATTTATGTTGTATCTCACATGTATAATCTGTCCTTTATGAATATAACTATTATCGGTTAAAGGAGAAAAAATAAATTCATGTGATATCTCACATGTATAATGTTCAAGGCGTAGATAATATTCCAGAACTACTTTTATGACTTTTATCAATATAATTATTACTGTTTGAGAAAAGACAAACTCATGTGATTTCTCACATGTATAACATTCAAAACACATATTTCAAAAGCATTATTTTGAATAAAAGACACAGTTGCATAAAAAAGATTTTTTTGGTGGAGATTAGTAAGACAGATAAAGAGGAAGTGTATTAGTGGGAACACAAAAATGGATAAAAACAAAGATGTCAAGAGTTAAAATAGATTAACATTCAAAACACATGAGATGCGTCAACATTCGTGGGAAAGGGAAATATAAAAGTACAGAGATAGCAGGAAATAAAATATATGAGCACAAACTTATGTGAGACACATTGTTTATAACATTCAAATCACGTGCTTCAAAAGCATCCTTTTGAACGAAAAATAATTTTCATAAAAGAGATTCGTTTAATAGAAATCAGCATGAGATGTGGCCGGGAGAGGTAGTATATTAGCGGAAAAGGGGAAATAAAGAAGAACAAAGATAGCAAGAATCAGGGGCGCATGCAGGAATTTTTCATGAGCGGTGTCGAAATTTTGAAGAATTGAGCAAATGAACAAATAATTGAAACAATATCATATTTTAAAAACATAATTCAAATTATACTAATACAACATAACTCAAAATATATTACTACAACACACTTCAATAAATTCTCCTTTTTTAGAATGTATTCGTAATAGCCCATGATACACTTATCTTAGATATTTTTTGTGAAGAGTTCGTTTGACAAATAGATCTCTATATTCTTCTAAAGTTCCCGTGTATTCGGAGCCTGCCCTATTTTGAAAAAAATATTAAAAGTACACCTATTTACAAGGAATTCAGACTAACTATGCTAGAAGTCACTTGTAAGTTGCTGCAATTTGATTTTAAAATATGGAGATTCTTTGTAGCTGTCACGACCTAATTCCCACAATAAATTGTGATTGCATCCAACGCTACCGTTAAGCAAGCTAAGTGAACCACCAACACAATAATCCATTCATAGAACTTTTTAAATCAAAAACTACATTAATAAAGTGGAATTAAGTTTAGAAGCCATGTTAAAATACTTCCATTCTTACTAACTCACAAAGTATAAACAAACATAAAGCAAAAGAATGATAATGTTAGGTACAACTATGAACATCTACCGAAAATCCTCAAAACTTGGTGTCACAAGTATATGAGTATCTAGTAAAATATACAAAACCACTATAGCTACTGTCTGGAATGAAAATAGGCAAATAAAATAAACACAAGGGGGAAAGAGACTCTGCGGGTCGAGGCATGGATAATAACTCACCACTAAGTCTCCAACATATGCGACTACGCACCCCAGTGACCAACCGATGTACATATCTCAGTACCTGCACATTTAGTGCATAAGTGTAGTATGAGTACGTAAGTTAATGCGTACTCAGTAAGTATCTAGTTTAACCTTGAAGAAGTAGTGAAGAGAGATCGACATCCACACTTACTAGTGGTCCAATAGCAATATATATAAAAGTAGACAGATATGAAACACAACAAGTAGCAACGAAATAAGTAGATATAAATAACATGATTTTCAACATAAGAATAGTATGGGTTGGGGAGGCAGGCCTATTTGGGAGAGTTGTGCTATGCGATCGCAAAAGGACTCACGCGATCGGGGAAGAGGAATCTGCTGAGTAAAGAGAGTCGCGATCGCAGAGCTGGAGCAGGTTGTTCTTCGTGTTTGCATGGGCAGAGTCGCGAAAGCGGTGAATTGTGGAGGCAGGCCTGTTTTGGAGAGTTGTGCTATGCAATCGCGGAAGGACTCACGCAATCGCGGAAGAGGAATGTGCTGAGGTTTGGGAAGATTGTGCTTCGCGATCGCAAGTAGGACCACGCGTTCGCATAGGGTAATCTCATGGGCGAGGCAGGTTGGCATTCACGACCGCAAAGAAGGGAGTTGCTGGGTAGACTTGTTTTATTTCGGGTTTTGGTTCATTTCTTCCACTTCTCTCATCGATAGGGTGATTTTTGGAGTTCTTCAAGAGGGGATTTTCATCATCTACGGCAAGGTAAGTAATTCCCACATTTTGTAAGTTAATTACATATATTCTATAAGGATTTAAACATGAAAAGTTATGGAAATTGTGATTTTTTGGTAGAAAATCTAGAATTTGTTATTTTGGAGTTTTGACCACGAAATTGGGGATGGAATTAGAAATAAATTATATATTTGAGTTCGTGGTGTTAAGTAGATTATCTTCAAAAAAATTTGAAATATAGTCACATAGGCCCGAGGGTTGACTTTTCAAGCGGAATTGAGAATTGATATAAATTAATTAATTATGAGTGTTGGGTAATATATTTATTGGTTTTCATGTTGTTTGACTAATCTCAGATTGTTTGGCTTTGAATTGAGGAGTTAGAAAGGCATTGAAGCCGGTCATGAAACTTCAGAGCGAGGTAAGTCTCTTGTCTAACTTTGTGCGGGGGAAACTACCCCATAGGTATCAAATTGTTATGTGCTACTAGTTGTGGGTGTTGTGTACGCACGAGGTGACGAGAGTCCATACGTATCTAAAACATATTTATGTCCATGTAGACTTAGGATTTTATCATGTAATATTTGAATTATTTGAACTCAATTTGCTAGCTTAATTAATTAAATTTATAATTGAAATTGATTTATATATATATTAGGCCGATCTTTATCACCTTGAGTTCTGGGCAAGATATTTGATAAATGCTAAAGGTTATATTCACTTTATGCTCATGCATCTGTGTTGTAAGCACGTGACTCGTAATTCGATAAGTTTCTTCATTTCTTGTTAATCGGGTCGACCGACTCAGTAATATATTGAGATGCATCTCTGGTTCGCGTCAGTCGACCCCGACAGTGTACATGCCACTCTGGATCGGATCGTACGACCTCGGCATAATCGTGCGTTATACTGCTAGCAGTCCGGATATTCACGAGATTCCCCTTCTATTGAGGCCTGGCATTTTTATATGGTATTCTTTATCCGTTTGAGATTGCACTTGATATCTCTGATCTATGGATATAGCATATGAGATTTGAGAAATTTATATCGTTAAAAGAAATATTGGAGGACTATGTATTACATTTTTTATCTCACTACTACTATTGTGCTTCATAAATATTTATGAATTATCATATTGATTTATTAGACCACTAGTAAGTGTCGATGTCGACCCCTTTATCACCACTTATCTGAGGTTAGGCTAGATACTTACTGGGTACTCGTTGATTTACTTCTGCACTAAATGTTCAGGATCTGACAGGTTCATTTGGGCATGTAGGCGCAGATGCTGAGGGGACTTTATGGTGAGTTCTATTTCATGCTACGATTCGCAACATAGAGTCTCCATCATATTTATTTACTTTATTCTATCTATCTTGTATTCCAGACATACGTTGTATTATTATTGTACTTTCTAGTAGATGCCCATGCACTTGTGACACCGAGTTTTAGGATGTTCTAGAATTTGTTTGTGACGTTGCTTCACATTGACACACTTTTACTATTTATTCTATTTGAGTTGAAGTTTTCCACGATTTTAATGCATTAATTTCTTTATCTAATGAGATTTATGATTTCATAAATAATAAAATAAATAATTAAGTTGGTAGTTCACTGCTGACTTGCCTAATGACGACGTTGGGTGCCATCATGACCTATATTGAGATTTGGGTCGTGACAGCTTGGTATCAGAGCTTTAGGTTCAATTAGGTCTCACAAGTTATGAGCAAGTCTAGTAGAGTCTTGTGGATCGGTACGGAGATGTGTCTACTTATCTTCGAGAGGCTACAAGGTTATTAGGAGCACTTCCCTTCTTGATTCCTCATCGTGCGATTTGATTCCTTTGAGGCTTATAACTTTATTTCCTTCCTACTCAATTTTATGCAACATGGAATGCTTGGTATTGAGGAGTTGTAGTGGTACTGCAGATGTGGTGCATGATGTTTTTCCCTGCATACTCGAGCGAGTTATTATCGTCATCTTGTGGAGGGGCGTCTAGTGGTTTCAGCCCAATGTTAGTGTTGCCTACAGATTCGAGGCTATGCACAGTGTATTATGATGTTCATGCGCTATTATCACGCAGTATTGGTGTAAATAGTAGAGTGCTTATGTATGTATCGTTGCAGTGAACCGCTTGAAAGGAAGATTGCTCGGTTCATGGTTTAGAGGTTCGACATTTAACTCCAGCGGAGGAAAGGCAATTGAACTACGGATGTTCAGGCTCTGGTTGATGGAGTAGCGAGACTTGATATTCTCGAACGTGGTGGAATTCTCATTTGTGATATAGTATCGTCCTTGTTGGAACGCATTAAGTCTTATCGGTGTTATGGTCTTCTTTGATTTGCCTCGGGGCAGGGAGTTGTGAAATGGTGCCTAAGAAGCGGTTGTCAGAGATGGCAGGGTGTAACAGTTTCAGAGTCGAATCGGTGTTTCTAATGTTGATGGCTCGAGAAAAATAATTTTCAAGGAGTCTTAGAGTTGGTAGCAGTTTATTAGTTCGAGTGATACAAAGATGGATTTTGATTTGTGGCAGTATTTGGGAAGCGAAGGAAAATGAAGGACATGGTGGGAGGTGTCTCGCAGAGGTTGAATTGCTAGAGGTCGAGTAGTTCGCTTCGGAAGATGGTTAACTCGGAGCGGGAATGTTGGCGTATCGTATGGATTTCGTGGTAGGATGGCCACATGCTTCCAGAAAACGTGGTGCGATTATGGTCATGGTGAATAAGGGACTAAGTCTGAGTATTTCGTTTGAGATGGTGGCTTTGTGCTTCGAAAATAGAATATGACGGAAAGAGTTTGCTTGAGATGCAACAT